CCCCAAAACCCCAAAACCCCAAAACCCCAAAACCCCGAGATTTCGTGTCCACATTGAACTTTGGGCAAATCTAAATTACTGTAACTTGTTAGCATCAACAGTCTCAGAGTTCGTAGTCATAAGATTTCTTCTAAAGCCACTCCCAGTCATATTGGCTCTGATATGATTGAGCTTCTTGTAGTTCATCAAGGTCTTTTCCTTCAGCTCAGGATTTATCTCACCTAGAATATTGATGAACTTTTTCCAAGGCTCTTGCTCTATTTTATCCAAATTCAGGTTGGGATCCAGCTCATAATCCTTCATTGGGGACTGGAATTGACCCACACTTGCTGATTTCCGAGATGCTTGGAGCTTCTCGGCGCTCCTGGGTATAAACTTGTTCTGGAAAACAGGTCTCTTTTTGTTCTTATTCTTTGAAAGTTTATAAATCTGATACGGAGTCCTAACAGTGGTTCTGATCTTTGGAGCAGATCTCCCTCCCTTATCCTTTATTGAAGACCCTGATTGGGCACTATACATGCTATAAGGCTTGAAATTAGTCACCTCTACTGTTGAAGTGGACTGTAGGCGGCTATCTCTTTGCTGGATAGGAGATACATGAGTACTTTGCACACTGTTCTTCTGCATCTGGGACCAAATCTGTTTGTCTCAGTCCTTTCCTTGGCACTGAGGTGAAAACTTGGGGAAATTCATCACATTTGGCGTCTGACTGTTATAAAATTCACTTTTCGTGCTATATGAAGGACTCATACGGTTCAGATCAGTTGGACTCTTCAGCCTCAATTGGGGCTTATTCTTTCTCTTTTTATAAAATATCTTCCTGAGTCTTGGCTTATTCTTAATAACCAAGCGATGAGCTTTAGAATCATTTGGAGATTGTTTCAAGTTTCTTTGAGAGTATAAGGACTCTGAAGTGCCATATTTTTCACTGGAGTACAGATCACTGACCTTTGGTTGCCGTTTAGCGTTCTTAATCCTATCTAGACAAGAGTTTAACATTAGTTTTACTTTTAGAAATCGTCTCTCAATTTTGAATAGCTTGCTTGATGATATTGTGTACTTTCTTCTGAGTTTTTGAATTTATGTTGTTCTGATCTATGTGATTAATCAAGTCAAGAGTATTAGTTTTGGTCAAATTACAATTTTCTGGATATTAAATTCATAAAAAGTGTAGAATGTTATGAGATATGAACGAAATAAGCTATCCATTGCTTAAAATCCTATATTGATTCTTTAAAATCTCTAGAGATAATTTGGTAACTATAAAAAATTCCTTGTATCAGGCTGAGAATGAGTATTTAAAACTTGGTACCCAGAATACAGGTGTAGATTTGTACAAAGGGAATAGGCTGTTATTTATCGTTCTGACATCACTCCAAAATATATCTTCATAAGTAGTATTAGTTTCTTATTATTAATTCCCTCTAAGCCCGACTTGTGTACCATTTCGTATCCCTTACTGATACCTTTGCCTTTTCTTTCAATTTCTACACTGAGTGAGTATTCAGTGTCACTCTGGTCTTCGAATTTTGAAATGTCAAGTTCGTTGATATCTTCTATAGATAGTAATGTGAAACACTGAAGATTTATAGTATCAGAAGAGTATAGAAAGAACCTCCAGATAGAAGAATGTGGCCACTGCAAAAATAGCAGTCAAGAGTCCTGAATCCTTAAGGAAATGCTATTGATATTATCTAGGGAATAAGGGCTAGACTTAGGCACAGAAATAACCTTTAGCTCCTCAGTCTGACCTACTTAATGAACCATGCTTGTATAAATGCAAGGGACATCTTCCTCGAAATACACTGGTTTGAATGAGCAATTATGCTGATAAAGAAGAATCATAATATCTCTAAGCTTTGAGGTAGAATTAACACAACTAATTTGAGAAAAGTTCTGGCCTCAGGCCTTAGCTGCCACCTTACTTATAAATCTTTGGGTTTTGCGGTTTCCGGCTTTATCCATTTTAAATGAATTATCACGCTTCCGGATAGTAGACCTCCGCATGGCAGAAACCTTCAGCTTGGCAATGTCCAAACCGCTGACTTGTGATTTTGCTAGAAATTTAAGTAGAATTACTTACAGTTCTTGTCCATCTTGAGTGGATCTTTAAAGATCTCCTCTTCAAGTTTCTCCTTCGAACGGCGTAGCTCTAGAGCAGTATTAATCTGTCTGCCAAGAGGGTCACTTGCTTTTGCAGTTTGGCTAAACTTGGTAAGTAATTGAAAATTTACCCAAATCTGGGGATAATTTTAAATACCAGCAAAGTTTTATTTCAAGAGAATTCTACTAGTTCGCCAACTCATGCAATTTTCACAAAATCTAGGATTTTTAATAATCACTCTTAAATGTAGTCTAACTGATTTCCAAGAGTATTTGGGATACTAACGAGTCAGATGAAAGAAGTGACCTTGAATATAGAAGCAAATTGACACGCTAGGAAACGGACGATTTGTTTAGAAATCCTCCTAGACCCCTCTTCTATAGTCCTGCCTATGAGTTGACTAGTTGAAAAGTTCAATTATCCCAATTTTGAGACACTGTAAGATATTCCAAGTAACATAAAATTACCCTTCAGGTGATATAAAATATAGATTTAACTCTGAGTAACGAGCCTTAGATTCTATTATTAAAAAAATATAGGAGAGAAATCTTGATTCCTCATCTTTGGTAGCTTAAGATGATTTCTAAACCCCAATGAGACTCTTCAACTTTGATTTACAAAATGCAGTATTTCTTCTTCACAATTCTATGAATTTCATTCAAAATTAGCTAATTTTCTAATTAAGCGCCTAGTTATTCCCAAACAACCAAGCCTCTTGACTTCAAAATGTAGGCTAAAGCCTCTAGATTTGGCCATGGTCCCAGGGAATATATGACAAACGAAGAATGGGCATTATCTGGGGTGGAAGTCTAATTTTTCACTAATACTAATCTTGAGTGTTAGCAAACTTTTCCCATCAAAAACTCTACTTAACCTCATTCTTACTTGTTATACTCTGATTTGAACAGTTCGACGAAGCGTTTGAGGTCTTCCTGTACTTCAATAGCTGAATAGTTCTTCTCCTGCGCTTTCATGTTATCCTTCGGGTCTATCTGATCTCTGAGATTTTCCTTCCTAGCTTCATCTGATAGAAAATTTAAAAGGGTCGAAAAGTTGAATGGGAGAAATCTGGCTCTGTTTTCTATATGCTTATAAGTCTCTCGGTGCCTGAGCTCATTAATCATATCTCTAAAGTGCTTGTTAGCTTCATGTGAGAGAGCAAAGTCCTTGAACTCGTTGATATCCAGTGTTCCAGATTTGTCTTCATCAACGATTGCAAAAAGAGTCATGAGTTGTTTCTTCGAGATATCTATGTTGTTCTTCTCAAACATGCCTCTTAATTCTTTGGCTTCGAGGACCCCGTCCCCGTCAACATCAAATTTCTCAAACACTCTTACTATAGCTTGGTGCTCTTCTAGTTGTGAGGAGTTGTTTAGGTACTGAATCTGTGCTTTTCCAGCAGCCCTCTTCCTCATCCAGTTTATAGTGTTGATATCAGCCAACTGCTTTGCCACCCTCTCTCCCACCACCTGCCTCTCCACCCCCTCTACTTCCTGCCCCTTCTCTCTTCTATCCATTACAGCTATTCCTAAATTTATATTTACGTTTAAATCTCTTTGTGACTGGAGGGGTTTTGGGGTTTTGGGGTTTTGGGGTTTTGGGG